CATCATGTCGGATATGTCAGCTACAGTCACACCTACTGATAATGGATTTCATGTTGATGGTTATGAAAAGATTACATATGATTTTCGTTTTGTTGATCATATATTTGATCCCAAAAAAAGTGATTTAGCAGATTGTTATAAAACATGGGGACGTTGTTTAGTTATTATTGATAATAATGTCCATAAAATACATTCACAAGCATTAGAAAATTATTTTTCAATATATAATATAAAATGTACAATAAAAGTTATTGAAAGCGGTGAATTACGTAAAACAATGAAGACAAAATTAGAAATAATTGACACATTTGCTGAATATGGTCTTGTTCGTAAAGAACCAGTTCTTGTTATTGGTGGTGGTGTATTGACTGATGTAGCTGGTTACGCATGTGCATCATATAGACGTAAATCAAATTTTATTCGTATTCCAACAACATTAATTGGTTTAATTGATGCAAGTGTTTCAATAAAAGTTGGTCTTAATCATGAGAAATTAAAAAATCGTCTTGGTGCTTATCATGCACCAATAATGACATTTTTAGATTTTTCATTTTTAAAAACTTTATCTGAAGGACATATTCGAAATGGTTTTGCTGAATTAATTAAAATTTCAGTTGTTGGTGAAAAAACTGTTTTTGATTTACTTGATAAATATGGTGAAGAATTAATTTCAACACGATTTGGTTATTTAGATGGATCATCAGATGAAATACGTCATGTTGGAAAACAAATTAATTATCTTGGTATTAAAAAAATGCTTGAACTCGAGTAAATTAAATCGTTTTTTGTTGTTAATTCATTTCATTCATTGATAATTCTAGAGTACCAAATTTACATGAAGTAATGCTTGATCGTGTTATTGCTTTTGGTCATACGTGGTCACCAACACTCGAACTTACCCCAACAATTCCACTTCGACATGGTCATGCAATTAATATTGATATGGCATTTTCAGTAACAATTGCATGGAAACGTCATTTAATTAGTATCGAGGAACGTGATCGTATTCTTCATCTTATGTCACGTGTTGGTCTTACACTTGATCATAAATTATTTCAAATTGAACTTATTTGGAAAGCTATGAGATCAATAATGTTAACACGTGATGGTCATCAACGTGCTGCTATGCCTTATTCAATTGGTCAATGTATTTTTCTTAATGATTTAACTCATGATGAACTTGAATCGATTTTAAGAGAACATAAAGAAATTGTTAAAGTTTATCCACGTAGTGGTGATGGTCTTGATGCCTATATTGATCAAAATGATTATACAGAAATAAGTGATTCAGATGCTGCTAATATGATTTCAATAAAAGAATTAAATGGAGAAGCTGTTCTTGATCTTGTTTCTTCCACTGCATTATTAACTAAAACAATAGAAATGAATGGTTTTACTCATACAAATATACTCCCTGTTATTATCTAATCAATTTAAATAACAAAAAAAAAACAAAGACATTTATCAATTGATCAGTAAAGTACTATTATTGGTTTTGTTGAAATTTTAATTGTTGTTATAAGTAATAAAATATATGTTAAACTAGCAATAATTAATGTTTTCTTTACTAAAATATTCATATCTATGATGACCTTATCTCGTTAGAAGTATATACTTATCATATTGAGTTTCAAATATTCACTCATTTTTTGTTTTATTTAAAAATTCTTTCAGAAAAAAAATGACGAATCTTATTGATATTAAATCTCATTTATCCAATGATCCTATTGATCATTATATTATGGAACATACTTTTCGACCAACAAAAGAACAAAATGAATTACTTGAATATACAAGATCGTTACCAGGTAGAACTTTAGTTTTATTTATTTAATTTTTTTTGTAAAATCTAATTAATGAATTAGAAAAATTTGCATTAATGATTGGTTCAACGGATGCTGCACAATTCTTTCAAATACTTATTCGAATAGGACAATATAAACGTTGTATTGAGGTTGGAACTTTATCTGGTTATACAGCTATGACAATGGCTATGGCTCTTCCCGATGATGGACTTATGGTTACTTTAGATATTGATGATAAATACGTTCGACCTGATATTTGGAAAAAAGCTGGTGTTGAAAATAAAATTGATTTACGTATTAAACCTGCAATTGATGCACTTCAAGATCTATTAAATGAATATGGAGAAAATAGTTTTGATTTTATTTTTATTGATGGTGATAAGGTTTGATTTGAATTTTATCAAAAACAAAAAAATTCTCTTTTATTTGTTTATTTTTAGCCAAATTATGTTAATTATTATGATTTATGTCTTCGTTTAGTACGTTCAAATGGTTTAATTGCAATTGATAATACACTTTATACAGGTTTTGTTGCTGATGCAACTAAAACCGATATTAATACAGTTACTATTCGACAATTAAATGATAAAATCAAATTGGATCAAACTGTTGATGTTTGTCAATTACGTCTTGGAGATGGAACTACATTTGTACGAAAGAAATAAACATTCCGTTGTCTTTTTGTTTATTAATATATTTTTGAATTTTGTAATGCATGATTTTTTTTGTTATATCAGTAAAATAAATTGATTAGAAACGTATAATATATACTCTCACATTAGATATAAACAAATACGATAGGAAAACTGTATTCAATGCTATCACAGTAATCGATAGAAGAAAGGAAGATAACTTCGAGTGAAGGAAAAATAAATAACAACTCAATGTTTCAACTAATATATCTTGTCTGTTTTTCTCATATAAGAAGACGAGAAATTTCTAATCATGATATTTATTCAAATTAACAAGAGAATGTTAGTTTTTGCATGGATGAGTTGAATCGAATAAAATCTTCTATTTGAAATCTATGTAGTATCATTTCTTGTATTTTCTCAAGTTTATATTTATATGGACGTTCACTGAAATGATAGTGGCCATTTTGTATCAAAAAACACCTCTATAGAAAAAAGTAAATGTATAATATATATCAGTCGGTGCTATAGTGTATAGTTTTGTATTGGTGGGATGAGATAGTCTTATATATATATATATATATATATATATATTAGCATTAAATCATTGCGAAAAAAAAGATGTGTTGATTCATTTAAAATGTTATACTAATTATATGCCTAATTTTATGATAAATTTAATTTTCATTATTTGTTAGAGACATGAAATGAAGATTGTATTTGATGAAATATTTTATCCAATGGTTGTATTAGTATTAAAATTATGTAACAGCAAGAATGTACTGTATAGCCCTTTACATTTATGATTTAGAAAGAGAGAGAGTGGTATATATTCATATATTCACGTGATTTATTTTTCATCAGAAGGATGCATATCTTTCTTTCACTTTATTCTCACGTCAGTGTAAGTTCATGAGTTAAGTCTTATTATCTAATATTCTATTATATGATCTTTAATCAAGTTGTAGTTCCAGTACACAATAAGTTTTTGTTTAAAAAGTGTTGAAATGACAGAAGAATAGATATAAAATGAAAATACTAAGATTTTGTATGAAATCGTAGCGAAAAAATATGACAGAGAGACAAGTGAATAGAAATATATTGAAGATAAGGAGAGTTATACGGAAAAGAAGCATTCTTTATTTTCACAATAGAAGAAGAAACAATTTTTTTTAGTAGAAACTATAATTTTCCATATATATATTTGAATAATACAGGTAGAGATATAAAAACTAATAGAATTCGAGATTTTGGAATTAAACTAATAAACTTAAGAGAAGAAGAAGAAGATTAGTATTAAACAAGTCTTCTTTTCTTTTAGAATGTGGCAAAATATTGAGTTTAAAACAATGTTTTCTCTACGAGATATAGAAGTTCTAAAAACGAGTCATATTTCATAAAAGACTCTCAACATGATGTTTCTATTAAAGACGGCAGATTTTAGATCAAAATACTTTTATTTAAATTTTGGATTTATATCGTGCTATAGATAAAAATTCTATTAAAACAGATATAGTTATAAAGGAAAGGTTTAGTGGCATGAGCTGTTTTAGAATTTTGTCATATGTTAGTATCGTATATTCAGTTGAAAAAGTATTTTAATCTCCAATTTTTTAATCTATTTACCTAGACAAAGAGGGTTGTTAAGAAGACAACAACTTTTCAAACACAGTCGTGAAATATGATATTCAACGGTAGATGGAAAGTGCTTTTGCGTCGAGTAACTGAATACAGTTGTCATTCATATTAGTAAGTTGCCAGTGTTGTTGTCGTTTTAGTAACATGTTACGACACATGACAACGCTTGTGAATAATCATGAAGAAAGATACATCTATTGAAATAAGTCTTATTGTTAATTTTAGATTAAAAGGTAATGGCACAAATAAACAATTTACAATCGAGTAAGATGTACATGTCTCGTGTATTATCTAACTTGAAACCATACTACATCTATGAAAGAGCAAGAATTGTCGGTTATCTTCTATTATTTTTGCTTGCATTTCCAGTGACACTTGTTATTACATTGATTACATTAGTTATTCATTGTGTTACCCGAAAACCATCGATTGTTAATCCAAATGCCAAACGAATTTTGATTTCAGGTGGAGGCATGACCAAAGCATTACAATTAGTACGTTCACTATATATGGCCGGTCATTATATTGTTCTAACTGAAGAATATCCATTTACAACTCATCGTTTTTCACGATGTATATCACGTTTCTATGTTTGTGCTTTTACAAAAACAAATCATTCAGATTATATTCAATCAATCGTTGATATTGTTCAACGAGAACGAATCGATATATTTATTCCTGCTTCACATTCGTGGTGTGAATGTGCTGATTCTCTCGTCAAAGAAGCTTTATTACCACTTAATTGTGTAACTGTTCAAGGAGATTTGAAAGATTTGGAAATGTTAAGCAATAAATATGAATTCTGTACTCGAGCACGTTCACTCGGTTTATCCGTACCGAAAACCTACAAGATTACTGATCCAAAACAAGTTCTTGAATTTGATTTTTCCAAAGAAAAATGTCAATTCATTTTAAAATGTATTGCAGATGATATTGTTACACGATGGAGTTTAACTAAACTTCCTTGTCAAACTAAACAACAAACAATTGATTATCTCAATACTTTAACAATTAGTAAGACAAATCCGTGGATTATGCAAGAATTTATTCCGGGAAAAGAATATTGTACACATGGTACAGTTCATAATGGAGAATTAAGATTATATGCATGCTGTGAATCATCACCATGGCTTCTTCATTATAAACATGTCGATAACAAACCTCTGATTCTCCAATGGGTGCAAGACTTTTGTTTACGAACAAATATTTCTGGTCAAGCGTCTTTTGATTTTATCGAAAGTTATGAAGATGGTCGACCTTATGCCATAGAATGTAATCCTCGAACACATACTGCAATTGTTGCATTTTACAATCATTCAGGTGTGGCTGAAACCTATGTAGACACGAAACATCTATTACATGGTCCCATTCAACCGTATTCGAATACTCGTGAATGTTATTGGCTTCATCATGAATTATGGGATTTACTCAACGTAAGACATATGGAGGATTTTCTTCGTATACTACGACGATTGTTCAACGGAAAAGAAGCAATTTATTCTGTCGAAGATCCATTACCATTTTTTCTTCATTATACACTTCATATGCCTTATGTACTCATTTGCCATCTACTTAATCCAACACCTTTTACAAAAGTTGATTGCAATCTATCACTTATTCTCTAATAAAAAATGTAACGCAGTTTTTTCTTTTCTACTGTGGTACTTTTTTGTTTTGAACAACTAGAAATAATTGTTTAGAATAAATTTATTCCGGTTTTTAGTATTGTGATTTCTTATAATAAAGTTAATTAACTGACATTACTCTTATAAACTATTACACGATACAAACTATCATTTATGTCCACTCTACTCTATATTACTAATAAAAGTTACAACTGATCGTTTCCCCGAGCTGACAATAGATAATCAAAATAAATGTAATGATTTTATAGTAGCAAAAATCTCATTTATGTCACATTGAATTCGAAAAGTGACTCATCGTCATGTAAAAAGAAATAGATGTATGTTAAGAATGAAAAATAAATTAATATGAAGTCGTTATAATGCTCTTTCTTTTATTATATGTAAATGAGCTAAAAGAAATTATTTTTCCTATCGCATCGAATAAAGAAAGTTGAATTTTATTGATTATATTATAAAGAAAATAATATGCATGATACTGTGTTACTCATATTTATATTATTATTATTATCAATAATTCATGTAAATTCATATGGATGTAGTTGTTCATGCTGTACAGGTTCTGGTTGTTCATTAGTATATTTGGGAGGAATAAATGTACAAACATGTGCTAGTACAACATGTTATGATACATGTAAAGCATCGTATACAACATGCTCAACTGGATCAGTCAATGCTGTTTGTTCAGCTACAAATATTTTTAAGTTTTATAAAACTTCATCTTTAATTGTTTTTACATTAATAATTATTCTAACCCTCAACGAATGATCTCAATTCATATTTTATACTGATCATTATGCTATGAAAGCACATTACTGTTTGATTAAAAGAACTATTTTTATTTTTGAAATCAGTTCTTTTTCTTTTTTTTCTTTTAATTCTAATTTAATAATAAACAATATTTATTTAAAAGAATATTTTACAAATAAATTCTGTTTTTTAGACAGTAAGAATAAACGGACACAATATATTATTGGCTCAAATTAATTAAAATATCATATGTAAAGAAACTTATCAATTTATAATTATCATTTGTGTACTGAAGTAATATCTTCGTTGTAATATTACTTTTATTCATTTCCTATTTTAATTAAAAAATAATTGCTCGAAGTGAAAATCTTTAGGTAATTTAGAATTTTGTTTTTTTGCAAAACGTTATCTCTGACCTTTTCCTTTTCAATAGGTAACACTATTTATCTGTTTAAATTGTCGTGGGTTTCTTTTATCAAACTTCTTTAAGATTAATAAAAAACTTTCAATCTGAAATATCCCGTAGGAATTTTCTACTCACTTAGAATTGTAACAATTCGCCTTTAGAATTTTATTTACAATAAAATAGATAATATCTACAGAATAAATATATTTCATGACTTAACCAACATAAACAAAATTCTTTCCATTGTTTTGAACTACTCATCATAGTCTACACCTAGGTTTTCAATAGTTGCATCTAATTCTATAACATGAATAAATCCAATTGATGATGATATTCAAATATCACAAACTGACTATAAATCTTCTGCGTCTAGACAAAGTCATAGTTCGACAAGATTATCACAAAAAACCATTTCTCAGATATTGATTTAGTTGGTAATGATCCATCGAGACTATCGCTCGTCGTTTACTTTTAGGATTATCTCTAATCTAAGCAATACGAGTTATTTGCTATATTGTTTTAATCAACTTCTTTCCACATTCCATACTGTGAGAAGAAATAAATGATCGCTTTCGCTTTTTACTAGTATTGTTTGAATACGTTTTATCAAGTTAAAAAATCGTAAGATAAAGTTCTATCTCTTTTAAAACAAGAAATTATATCTTACTTAAAGTTAGAATCAGATTTGTCATTGAGATAATACCGATTGACACTATAAGCAAGTTTTATTATAATATTAACCGATTCTTAATATAAATTCATTGCTAATTCACACTTCACAGATCATAGAGGACAAATTAAAAGATCGAATTGAAATTATTCAATCATTTAGAAGTAATCATATTATTTAAATGAAGTCTATTTGAATAAAATAATGATTAATCTTATAAACCATAACTGATTAGTAATAATTAACAAAAGAAAGTTATTTTTCAAGTATATAGACAGCGGTTAGTATCAAAAAGTAAATTTAATGTTAATGAGTTTATTTTAGCATAATAACTCAATATTGTTTCAGACTGTTCCACTTAGACAATTGCTCTTTAGAATTAATTTAAATATTCTTTCATGACAAGATAATTATATATATATAGGTAAGAGTAGAATAAATAAAGCAATTATTATTTCAGTTACATATGGTTCATGAAGTTTTTAATGTATTGAACAAATATAATTAGCGAAAATTTTCTCTATAACAGATGGAAGACTATTTTGATGGCAAATAGAAATTTTATATATGTCTACAATAATTTAAAACAACACGAGGACACTCTTTTTCATTTTCAATTAAATCCAGGTTGGTATAAGTTTCCATAATATAAAGTATAAAAGAGCATCTCTTCTTTCTCACTACGATAAATTACTTTATACCAGTAAAATAATAATTCTCATGCAAAACAAGCATTTGTACTTTATTAGAATGAAAGATCATTATGATTTGGTACTTAAAATTTTTAACAAAAGTTCAAAAGAAGCATCATAGAAAAAAGTCAGCTTTTCTTTTGTTAGTATAATTAAACTATTTAGAAGTAATAGAACAATAAATTTTTCATATATTCTTTAGTATATTTTAATAAGAATTCATTTTCCGGCTATTTTATTTAAGAAGCATTTAATGATTTCATTAATATTTTAATGAACAATCTTAAAGTTAAAAATTTCCATATTTAAATAATATATAAGTGAATAAGTATAGACAATTAATTATTATCAAGTACACACATACTCATTTGTTGATTAAAAACGATAATAACTGCATGAAATTTAATAATATAAATCTGTCTAAGATATAGACATGAAACGTCATTCATAGCCAGAAGGTTTTATTAGTCGAGATTGATTCTATTGGATTAGCAGATACAAATACTCGTTAATAGTAGAGCGAGAGAGAGAGAAAAAAAATTGCTTATCATATGCTGTTATTGTCTATGATAGTACTTTGCAATTATTCAACAACATATGTTATTATTCGTCGATCTTTGATCATTCTCATTACTGTGATTTATCTGATAAGTGGAAAATATAAAAACAGCTGCTAGACATATTGTTTGCTTCGTATAAAAGTACAATCATTTTTGTACTTCAGCTAAGTATTTCTTTAATATAAAGAAGTTTTTCATTATTTAGATTTAATCGTTTGAAATATTTTCTAAAAACTTAAATTTACGGTATGTATATATTATTGATATTTAAGAATGTCTAAACTACTTTTACAAATACCCCACACCCACGTAATAGTATTGAGAGATGATAGAACCTTTATGTTTTTATAATTACATGTTCTAAACTTTTCATTGCATGATTCGATATATCAGATAGAACTCTAAAAATAATACAATGTAATCAGGAATTAGTGTGTAGCTCTCCTAAAATAGTTCAAAAGGTTTTATTCATTCTTAAGGTTCAGAATAACCCTATCTTTTTTTATTCTTTGTATATCTCAGAGGCAAATTAGCATAATCATTTTCTACGCATGAATACATCGATATTATTTCAGAGTTCAAATAAGACAAAAACATGTTTATCGATAACTTTTTATTTTCATATTCTATACAGTAAAAAGAATAAAAACGTTTTAATTTTACTTCTTATCAACATTAATTATACTTCAAGATTATTGTGGCACTCTAAGTTTGCTTTGTTTTGATGTTATAAAAATTGACAATCTCATTTATATATCCTGTATATTCACGCACTTCGTTCTATGGAATAATATAGAAAAGAAAAGAACTATTAATAATAAAATCGACAACATAGATATGTGAATAATTTTCTATTTATGATTTTCTCTTACACAAAAAAAAAGAGAGAAATATATTTATGTAGTTGCAAAACGTGTCCGTTTTATTCACACTTTAGAATTCATTTTTTTTATGTTACTTTAGTATTCATTTAACAAAATAGGGAGAAAAAAAAGCCGAGGATAATAGAAAATACAGAAGAGAACTATAAATAAGTGTGATAAGAACGAGAAAATAGATGACAAATTTGCATTCGTCTTATTTTCTTTTCTTTTTTTTTTGTATTTTTCAAGTTAGATGACTGTCATATTTGTCTTATTGAGTACTATCAGAAATGTAAAGTATATCAAATTATATTTTCATCATATTGTTCATATTGTTGTTCTATAGACGCCCACATCGAGTTATTTTTCTTTGTTTACATACTGATTGTATTTGTGTTGTAGTAAATTATTTTTTATAGTTCGAGAATGGAATATTAGAGACACAAACATCACTATTCCCTATTTCTCGCGGGACTAATTACTTGGAAAGAGTGCTGATCGAGCGCATATTATTATTATCAGCGACAATATAAGAAGAAAACAACAAGAAAGATTATACGTACTAACATTGAAATATATTGATAGGATTGCCAAAAAAAACTAATAGAGTATTCCTGAATCTTCTTTGTTTTTCTTTCATTATCACATTCTTTATATATATCTCACATAATCTTATTCGTCTTAGATTTCTTCTGTAATCGACATCTTTGGTATTTTAGATAAATACCATTAATGAATAACATTTCTTTAAATACGTCAGATTTAACATCTGATTCAATGACTTTGCTTCTACAATTTTCTCTTTGGCCTATACGTATTATATGTCCATTATTAATTATTTTATGTCCAGTTGCAAATTGGATATGTATATCAACATTTCAATCACGTATCTACCATCGTTCATCATCGAAATGGTATTTTATATTTATTGCTATATTCGATACAATTTATGTACTTATTACAGCACCTCTTATATTTTTAATAACATTCGAAATCTATATTTTAAATTGGAATATAATTTTATGTAAATTAATTGTTTTTCTTAATTATTTATCTTGTCAAATCTCAGCTGGTTTATTAGCATGTTTATCAATTGATCGTCTTATAGCGACAACATGTTTATATTTATATCGTTATAATTGTACAACTAATATATCAAAATATGTTTGTATATTAGTTATATTAATATTATCATTAATAAATTCACATTATCTAATTGGTTATACAATTGATCAGAATGGATATTGTAGTGCAAGATATTATAAATGGTATGAAAATATCTATTCACATTTAAATATCGTTTATTTATTATCATATTCTATAATACCATTTACAATCATAACAATATGTAATTTATTTATTGTTATAAGTGTTTATCAAAATAAAGCCAATATGAAAAGAAAATATTTACTGAAAAAACCAATTCTATCATTAAATAATCAAAATGATCAAACAATTATAAATTCGTCTCCCTATTGTTTACCAACAACATTGGATAGAAAAGAAGATACTATAATGAATAATAATAATAAATTTCAACAATCTTCGAATCAAAATAAACGTCAAGTATTTGTAACAATGAATGAAAATGAAACAGTAAATAAACTAATTGATGCTGACAGTAAGATAATTTTATAAGAAAATTATTAAACTATTAAATATTTCTTCAGATGAATGCCGAACAGAACGATATAATCGTTTTTCACAAAATTTATTACTGGATGGTGAAGAATTAGTTGGTCCTATTGAAACACCACCTAAACGACAAAATTCTTCAATTTCTGCGGTGTTTCGTAAACGTTCATCAACATCAACAACATATTCTCAAAAAATGTGTGTACAAGTACAAATAACATTAAGTTTATTAGCTATATCAATTAGTTTTATATTTTGTACATTACCAAATTGTATATCAACAATAATGATTCAAACATATAATCAAAATGAACAAGTAAGAAAATTTTGGCAAGCAATGAATTATTTCTCAATTGTACCATTACTTATTACACATTCTGTTAATTTAATTTTTTATTATTTATCATCGCATATGTTTAGAACTCGTGTGAAAGAAAATTATTTTAAGAAAACACGTTTAACAAGTCACTTTTCATTGAGATCGTTATTCAAATCTTAATTTTATGTATATATTTTTACTTGTTTTCAAACTTTTCTTCAGTGATAATACAAATTTGGTTTCAATGTACATGATATTTTCACGTTTCTCTTATATATATATAAATAAATGCTTTTAAGAATTAAACTAAATCGAAGTAAATTGTCCATCTGAAAATTGAGCGATAAATAATCTAATCTTTTCCTATAAGCTACGTTTCTTAATATCAGAAAATAAACAAAAAACTTTTGTAATAAACGTTATAAAAGAGGTCTTTCATTTTTTTTGTTCGCTGTTGTTGTGCTTTTGTCTTGTTTTTATTTGACTGTTTAAAATGATGTGAATATATTGTTAAAAGACTGATATTCATGGAATTATCAAAAACTTGACTATGTATAATTGTGGGTTGAATGAGATAAATCTATTGAATACTGTATGTTGATATGAATTATTCTATATCTTAAGCAGTTAGTTACTTTTTACATTGATGATGTCTTTACTTACATCATTAGATACATACTAGCTTTATCTGAATGATGAGAACTGTTCTGGTTATATGCCTAAGTAGTGCTATGTTACAACCTTAGGATTGATTGAGCAAACCTTTAATTGAATCTTTGACAGATAATATATATATTATTAAATTTATGCAAGGTATTCATAAAACATAAGAAGGTGAAAAGATTTAATGGCACACTTTAGATATCAAAAAAATAACACATTTCATAGAATGTATATTTTTACATTGGAATTTTAAATTTTAATATGAATTATGTTATTTTTGAAAAGAGAATATCTTTTAATGGATTAATTATAGATAAGAAAGTGTTACATTTATTGTTAAACTTTTTTTTCTATATTCCAAAATAGAATTTTTTTTATTAAAGTCACTCAGATCTTTATAGAAAAAAAATATTCTGTAATGCAACTTGTCATATATTATTTAGTAATAATCAAAGTACTTCTAACTGAATGTACTGAATCTTGTTTTTATATCAGATACATCATATTAATTGACTATGAGAATAACTTGCACCTTGTATACTGTTCATAAGATTTGATTATTATATTTTCAAGAATAAATATCAGTCGACAATAAATTCTCAATCATACCTACTTTATTAATAATCAGTGCATGATTTTCCGCCTACTTAATTTTTCTATAAATAACAGAAAGTTTACCGGCAAATTCTTTATAATTACATATAGATTCTTCTTTTATTTATACTTCCGAATTTGACTTAGTAAATTGTAAATAATCCTTTAAAACTGTTCTTTACTAGAAAAAGATTTGTTTTTATGTACGAAATAAAGTAGTTACATGAATGAATAAAAAAATTAAACATGTACTTAACGAAATTCATTTCCATTAATTCAATACGATGATCTTATATACACAGAATAAACTTGTACTGATTATATAAGTAACGCTCATCTTTGGAATCGCTCACCCTTTTCTAAAAGAAGCAAGACTAGTTTGGTTAGTAAAGTTTAGAGTCCGATTATTTAATGAGGATCTACTTATGACTATCTTTTACAATCTCAGCAAATAAATTCTAGATGAGGGCGTGGGTGTAATCTTTTGAATCAATCGGCACTCACCAACATCTACATTCGCAAGCGAGCCTGCAAAAATCTAAAGAAGATAGAGACATGATGAAAACTATTTCTGTCGACTTCATTTATTTTTTTTACGTTTGTCAATAACAAATGCACTTTTTTCCAAGTTTACCTTTGTTATCTACATGATGGTTAAATACTAGCTTTCAGTCAATAGAATACAGCAAAAAAAATAGTAAAAGCTAGTTTAAACATTTTTTTAAAATTTCATGTCTACTAATTCGCGATGACGAATTATGTTATCAACTTGTGTAATTCAGTCAATATTTACCATTATAAATACTTTTTGTGTACTCAAAAAGTGAGTACACTACTAGAATCGGTCAGTGTGTCCGTCCAGCCGTTTACACGATAACTTTCAGAAGGAGAATCAGACTGAGCTAAAATTTTCTACAGAGTTTAATCTCATAGATATCTCGGTCGATTTCGAAGATGAGCCCTACCGGTTATACCATAGCTGAGTTATAAAAGAAATTTTTATTATTGATCAGACCATCCCCGAGGGGGAGTACAGGGATCTTTTTTCAAAAAAAATATTATTCTCAAAAATGTTCACAACATATATAAATCGACTCCGTTTTTAACGCTGATTCTGAATCTGACATCAGTTTTGAACTAAATCGTAGCTTTCTAACAGAACATCGCCTGAAAAAGGTCTCAAAATGCACAAAAACTGTATCCAAACACCAAATTGCCTAAATATATCTCAGATTACTAGTAATTTTGAGATTCTATAAATACCAGGTTTTGTAGCTAGTCAAAAGGACTATCGAAAAGTAAAAATCCGAACTCGATAGCTATTAATGTTGATGAGCTATTATGAAAATACTAATGTCTGTATCTATCATATATCTCTTATAGATTGATCAGGTTAATTACGATCGTAATTCTCCCAGATACAAACACAAATTCATTTAAAAATCACTCCTATTACCTAGTGTTTTTGGAGTAGATATAATTTGTGAAGAGCCTTGAATAATGATTGGTAGTAAATATGATGCGTTTGAGGTTTCCTCAACATTACACTGTCCGAAAATGATGAAAAACTCACATATACTGACACTGCCGTTAGAACTTTTTATTGTTGACTAAGAATCAAAAACACAAGATCAATGTCTATTTCCGCTTTTTGCAGTACACATAACTCTCGGATACAATCCGAAGTTTCCACATTTATTTTGTTCCATTATAAATTAGATCAATTAACATAATACGAATATTTTTAATCAAGGTAAGAAAAACAAATAAATATTATGAAGGAAAAGGAAAGCATGTCTTTTTTTCTTCTATTTTTTCGTTTTTATTTGTATAAGATATATGAGAAACAACAAAGATTTATTCAATGCTCTTGATCAAAAGAAAAATAAACGAAATCACCTTTTTGACGTCATCAGATGATTAGACAAAAATGTCATTTGATAAGTAATTAAGTAAAGTTATCCATGAAAAATGTGTTTCTAGAAAAAAAAATGATATTTTCATGAATTTTAAATTCGTTTATTATTGAATTTATTTTAATCTTCGGATTTGTCAATATAATAGTCTTGGATATAATCTATTCGAACAAAAATATTGCATTACGATCACTTGTTTATCTAGAACATATTACAAAGACAAAACTAACTTCTAGTAAATACATTTCATTATCGATAATTACAAAGTAAAAAAAAAAACATCTGTTTATTGATCGACTTTGAATTAAAATATGTCCACCTAATCATACGATATTCCCGCATTATCAATAAATGATAATGAAATAAAAGATGTATTAAAATATTATAAGAAAATGGTGTGATTAAATTAATCCCGATATGAAATTTTAAAAATCTATTAAAAAAGACACCAATAAATATTCCATTATGTTCAACAATTCAACAAGTTAAACAAATTGATAAGGAATATTTCATTCAATGAAAATAAACACCAAGAAAATAAAGAAAATATTTTGGTTATTATTACCAAATGAATTTCATACACAAAATTTATCAAATATTTCAATAATTAATTCACAAACATTATTTTTAAAATGTGTTCATCGTGATCAATTTGATTTTCATCAATTACCCTTGAAATCACTTTTAAAATTATCTGGAAAAGAATTTTGTAAAAAATATTCATCAACATTACTTAAAGCACATGGCTCTGCTGCTATATTTCCTTTAATTTTCAAATAAACAAAATCTTTGCCAATTAAATTATCATCATGAAGGTAGGATTCGTTATTGGTATAGTATTCCACCAAAAGAAAGAAAGAAATTTGAAAATATATTTAAAGAAAAGAATCCATCAATATGTATTGAACATATAACGACCGAAAACAAATGGATGATTGTTAGTTTCGACTGTTGCTCGATGATCTGAACCAGCACTTATATGTGCAAATACACATTTTGTTGATGTATGAGCACATAAAGATAAAAGATTAAGATCATTGAGTGGTGGACGAGTATTTCTATAGACACATGGTCTATTAACATGATCTTTATAAAATTCTGCTGTAACTTCGCTAGAAAAACCAATACCAAATTCACTGACATTCGTGAAATGATTTGGACCTTGTGTATGAGATGCTTCACCTCAACTAGCTTTGTTTCGACCAAGATGAGGATCGTAAATAACATGATGATTTAGAAGAAAAGGTACATCAATTTGTTTAACAATTGAATGTTTTAGTTTAATGAGAACATCTTCAAGCAGAGTCGACTCATAGCCGATATATGTAAACCAACGACACATCTTTCTCGTATTGTTTTCTTATTTTAATAAAATGTCATTATCTCTATTTAAACGTTCGTTGGTCGATAACAACAGATTATTGTTTTTCTTTTTCTTCTTTTCATTCTAGTTGGACATATATTCTTCTCTTCCGTTTTTTTCTCTCCTGATCGCTAATATTGTCTATTAAAGACAAGGAAATACAATCATAATAGAATATTTTTTTTCAAAGAAGCAATGTAGAGTTTATTCGAATAATAAAATAAAGTAAAAGAAAAAAAAGGATTAATATAGAAGAAATGTCGAATATTGTTTGTATTGTAGATGTATGTACGTATTCCATCGATTAGCTAAAATAAAAAAGAAAATATATAGTGTAGAAATTTTGGAATTTCATTAAAAGTTTGAATGTTGTAGCATGATATTTACATCATTTGTTTAATTCAAATAAAGAGAAAAAGGCAAAGAAACAGAAACTATCATTTTTCTTTTTTACACATTAACAAAGTATTATATTATTTATACATACACTGGATAACAAGCACCAACATTCATAACAGCACCATAACAAGCATAACCAGGACAGCAACGAGGTCGACCGTTATTACAGCCGTGGCAGTTTCGACAATCAGCACCATTACAACTACAATTACCATAAACAAGACACTTGCCATCAGGTCCATATTCACGTTTTCCAAGTAATGCTAGAAATTGATCCACTAATTCACGTCTCGTTTGTTCCATGTCGGTATGGTGTCTTGCCGAGTATGATGTTGCCCAAACACTATTGCTAGCCATCAACAAAGCAACAACAAACAGTAAACAAATAAATTTCATCGTATAAACCATTTTAGATTAATAATAGAATAGGACGTTTGCGACTGTTAAGAAAACAAAACACTACTGAAGATATTATACGATTACTTATACCTTTTATATCGAAGAAAAGAGGCAAATATATTTTTGAAAATAAATTTCTTTTCGTTCTAAACAATACAGATAGTCGCAAGCAGAAATATCTATCGTTATTGTAAGAAGAAAAGAAAAATCCGTTTCTTTTAGACCCTTTTCATCCTATTGAAACAGCTAGCCAATATTAATGCATGACAACACCAATATGTCATATTTTGAGTATTATTTTTTTCGCTGATTTACCTTGAGATTTGAATAGAAATAATAGCAATGATTAGTTCCTCTCATCAATCTAGCATTGATCAGAAATTTGCATTTGACAAGACGTGGTATTTTCAATATTATTTTTTTCGTTTATTTAACTTCAGTTTTGAAAAAAATACATTTGATAAGCTGTAATACCATTGCTTGAATCGATCGAAAAGCAATTTTATTGATTAAAACTATTTCTTTGTAAAGTCGACATGAATATATCTTTTAATAGTATACATAACTCGCCCAGATCTACAAGATGTAGAAAGTTTCGACTCGAAATCGAATGAACACACTTGAGAATATTCCTTTATTAGTTTTATATATGTGAGAAAATAAAAAAAATATGTTCAGATATATTACTAAGAAAATAAATCGAACTAAACTCACGAGAGAATATATTTTAATATGTAAAATTTTATTTGAAAGACATTATAGGAAATAACTACTTCTCAAATAAAAATATGAATTGATCAATCACATGAACTATGATTATATGTCCTAACAGTGATATTAATATATTAACTGTAGTAAAGGTGAAATTATTGAACAGTGCTACTCTTTTTAGACTTTGTGTAACACTTAGTTAAGATAAATTTAAAGATAAAATATTTTGTTGAGTGATGTGTGAATAGAAGAAAAACTATGGTTTAGATCTGTTATGTATACGAACTTTATTCTAATCGATTTTTTTAATAAAAAAAACTAATTATTTTAATGTAATTTATTAAAGTATTTCAAAGACTTTTGAATGATAAAACGCATTCGTAATTAAATAAACTGTTCTTATTTTGTTGCCTATGAAATAAGTGATGTATCTGATAAGAAAATCTTTGTTAATATGTAAAAGATATAATTATACAATAACGTACGTTGTTTAATATAAAGAACAACGTTTATATCTATATTGATTTATTTAAATATTTTTTTCACACAATATATCAAATGTTCGGTAATATTACTGAAATAAATCTCAATGATTAGAATTCCATGAGAGATTCGACTGTTGGTATCTCTTATTTTGTGATATATTATCTATTGGATGTCTATTATTCTATCTCGATTTGATTCTATTTCATCGACTTGTTCTTCTCTTTATTGATCTTATTTATGAATTAATTCATATTTCATGATTTATTCATCACGATCATTAGAAATATTATTATTTGCTTGGGCTACTGCAGAAAGCCATACACTTTTATTTCATAATCAATTATTTCGAAGTTTAATTATAATTATTTTTAGTATTACTCTTCTTTTACATGTAATCATAGAAAAAGATGATTTGCATCTACATATTCATTGTCTAAAACATCGAAAAATGATTATACAATTATTGTCGACATGAATTATACCATGGATATTGATTATTTTACCTTTTCAATTTGGTTTATTACTATACAATATTATTATATTTCTATTTCCATTTCTATGTTGTTTATTATTATCATCAGAACTTCGAATAAAAGTACGAAAAAAATCTTTTATTTCATCAATAACATCATCGAGTTTGTTTAGTTGCAAATATTATCAATTGTAGAAAGAATATTGAAGTAGTTGAACGATATCATATGCGTTCAATACGATCGTAGATGCTTTTGTTAATTTTATTGAAAGCTTGAATTTTTTTTATTAACAAATTTGTTATTACCGACTTTTGAAGAATTCTTTCAATGTTTTTCTATACATTTATGAAGAAAGAACAAATATAATAATGATGAGGGTTAATGGAATCAATAAGATAAAATAATCTTGAGGGTATGGGTGTGAGTATTATCTTAGTCTCTCTTCTTACATATTATCCATAAATTTAAAGAATATCGATAAAATATTAACATTAAATAACTCAAACTTATTTCATTAAGCAAATCGAAATAAAAATATTATTAATAAAAATTCAATGTCAATCCGAAAGTTCTTTCTTTATATTTAGAAAAAAATGTGAATGTTTCTTTCAATGTCAAGATATAATAAATTATGTTGATATTTCATAAAGTTATCGATCATGCAATAGTTATATCAAATCTATATGAGATTTTTATGAAAGTACGTCAATGAATATTAAAAAATATTAACTTTGTAGGTTTTAATATTAAAACTTTTCTGTTTTTTTCATTGGAATATATAAATACCAAGTATTCTATTCATCTGTTTTGTGTACTCAAAAAGTGAGTACACTACTAGAATCGGTCAGTGTGGCCGTCCGGCCGTTTACACGATAACTTTAGAAAGGAGAGACAGATTTTGATGAAATTTTCTACACAATTTAGCCTCCTCAAGATCTCGGTCGAGTTCAAAAATGAGCTTAATTTACCGAGCCATTCGTGAGTTATTGCAAAAATACTAATATTTTTCTATGATTGCGATATGCGCTTTTTGCAGTACACATAACTCTCGGATAAAATCCGAAGTTTCCACGTTTATTTATTTATACTTCCGAATTTGACTTAATAAATTGTAAATGATACTTTAAAGCTGTTCTTTACTAGGAAAATTATTTTTTATGTACGAAATGAAGTATTTACATGAATGAATAGAAAAATTAAATATAAACTTAACGAAATTTATTTTCATTAATTCAATACGATGATTTTGTATGCGTAGAATAAACTTGTACTGAATATATAAGGGTGTGGGTGTATCTTATTTATGTCACCCACACCCTCAAAATTTTCTTTATATACTTTGGATCCATTAAAGTTGTAGAATCGTAGTGAGTCAGTTTCAATTCGAATATAAGTTACATACATTTCTGTCAATCAAATAATCTATCGGATCGATGCGTATCAGATATTTTGATGACCCTTAGTTTTTTTAATAAATGACAAGATTTCGTTGAAGAAATCGGAGTTTCACAAACGCTGCCTCAATTGAATTCTTTTGATCAAAATAAATTAGTAAAGAAAATGAGATGTCTCCTTAGCTTCTCTCATATACATCTGTTTTATGGAGATTGTCAATAATCCTATCATAGAAATGAAGATCTATCATTGAACCTCTTATAGAACAGTAATAATTTAATATTATTATCGATGCATCACCTAACCTAGTGATTTGTAAACTTATCATGTATCAATATTATACTTTTGAAACAAAGGTGCATGATGTGCTCCAGCTATCAGTCGTATCAGCAAATAAATTCCAGATCAGGGCGTTAGTGTAATCTTTTATATCAGCCGACATTCACCCACATCTAAATACGCAAGAGAGCCTGTTCAAACCTGAAGAAGATAGAGACATGATGAAGACTTTTTTAGTCGATTTCATGTTTTTACTTTTATTATTGACAAACACGCTTTTTTCTCCAAGTTTATCTTTGTTATCTGCAGAATGGTTACATACAGGCTCTCAGTTAACAGAATACACCAAGAAAAATGATACTAGCTAGTTTAAACATTTATTTAATTTCACGTCTACAAATTCGTGATGACGAATCATATTATCAACTTGTATAATTCAGTCAATATTTATCAATATAGATACTTTTTTTTACTTAGGATTCTCAAATAATAAACATAAATCTACACATTTTCTCTCCATCAAAGAAAATAAAACATTTATTGCTCGTGGAGTATATCGATGTTTCTCGAAGATATAAAAATATCTCACCAGTTTACCTTTTTCGTTCTTCAGTTGATTTTTTTTCATTGCAAGATCATAAGCAGCTAAAGATAAAACATTTCGAAAGGAAGTAGACAACTATAAAAAGAATCATTTTTGGTCATTTCTTTACTAGTAAATTTTACACAGTAACTCGAATCCAAAACATTCACACAGCAAATAATGAATAAAGGAAAATCAACAACAAGTACATCTACAGTTTCAAAAGGTGCAGAAGGTCGTCGACGTATCAATATCCAACAGGTACAAAATGTCCTTTTAATCTGGTTAGACAACAACATTGACAAAACGAACGTTGATTGTCAAAATACAATCACAAAACTACGACGTGCTGTTAACGACATCAATACATATACAAATGGTGATAAATGTCTTGAATTCATTCAAACCATCGTCGACAAAAAAGTATGTATAATTATATCTGGATCACTTGGACAACAAATTGTGCGTCGTGTGCACAATATGTCCCAAGTTGATTCGATATTTATCTTTTGTGGCAATAAAAAATTACATGAACAATGGTCAAAAGACTGAGCCAAAATAAAGGGTGTCTTCACAGATATTACACCCATCTGTGAAGCACTCACGGAGGCTGCTCATCAATGTGAGCAGAATTCCATTCCCATGAGTTTCGTGGGAACAAATAAAAAGTTGGATCAATTAGATCCTTCTTTTATGTATATCCAAATCATCAAAGAAATTATATTAACCATCAAATTCGATCAAAACCACATACAAAATTATCTTAATTACTGTCGTGATGCTTTTTCCGACAATGAAGAAGAAGTGGTTAATATTAAGCGATTAGAAGATGAATACCATAACAAAACACCAGTTTATTGGTACACCTGTCAAATGTTCTTATATCCCATGCTCAATCGTGCATTACGATTGATGGATTGTGATATCATTACACATATGGGTTTCTTCATTGGTGATTTACATCGACAGATTGAACAACTACACAAGGAACAATATGCTGGTACAACTGTTGCTAACACCTTTACTATTTACCGTGGTCAAGGTTTATCTACAGGGGATTTTGAAAAAATGAGCAAAATTAAAGGTGGTCTAGTTTCATTCAATAATTTCTTGTCTACCAGTAAAGATCGTGAAGTTTCCTATGCTTTTGCTGAAAGCAATCAGACCAATCCGGATTTAGTTGGAATACTTTTTGTTATTAAAGCAGACCCATCTCAATCAACAACGCCATTTGCTTCCATTGCTGGTATCAGCTAATTCCAAGGAGAAGACGAGGTCTTATTTTCCATGCATAGCGTGTTTCGTATCCAGGACATTACACAGATGGGTGGAAATAATCGTTTATATGAAGTTCACTTGGTACTGACTGCTGATAACGATCCAGAATTGCAGAGACTTACTGATTATATTCGCAAAGAGAGCTCTCCAGACTCTGAAGGATGGTACAGATTGGGTTTGGTACTATGGAAAATGGGTCAATTTGACAAAGCCGAAGATATTTATCAGGTTCAACTTGATCAAACCAAAGATGATAAAAATAAGGCACCTATTTATCTACAACTTGGTTCGATAAAGAAGTATCAAGGAAAATATGAAGAAGCACTTACATTCTATGAAAAATCACTTGCTATCTATCAAAGAATACTTCCTCACAATCATCCTGATTTGGCTGCTTCCTGTTAGAGGATGATATATATCATCCTCTAGTTCATCCACATGTCTTGCCATTTTCTTTTTCTTTTCTCTCTTCACATATATGTCATTTCTTTTTCTTTTCTCTCTCCACATATATGTCATTTCTTTTTTTTCTGTTCTTCTCACATATCTGTACATATGTCTTTGTTCTT